ATTAATGACGAGTAAATAGATAGAATTTGTATTAATTAACTCTAATTCATAACTGTAAATATGATTCCTTTATATCACTAGAAAAAAACCATCCGTTAATTTTAATTCACAGACGGTTACTTTGTACAATCAGACTTTCTTTAACAATATGCATATTTTAGATTTTCATATATTTTTTGTACATATGTATGTCTTCTACACAATTTGCCCACATAGTTGCTACTAAGCGCCATGACTATTTCGAAATTCCACGTTTAGTAAACGACCCACTAATCAATAATCCGCTTATTCGAATCCACTGCCAGCTAAGGAGTGTATCATTACAGAATGTCTTTTTCAACAGAGCTTACCTTATAATAATTCATGTAAAAGGTGTAATCAGTATTGTATAAAAACAAGAAAAAGAAAGTCTCAAGTCCTTGAAATCCTTTCGCTTTCAACCTTTAAATCCTAAGAAAATCATTCTTAGGAATCATCTGCTCGATAAATCAAGAATTATTCCAGTTACAAATGGGTGGATATAAATCGATCAAACAAATGCATCTGTGGTTTACTTCAGCTTAGAAAAAAATTCTCCTCTTATCGATGAGAAAAGCTGTTCAAAAGCAGAGGCAAAATTAAATTATTGAAGTATTAATGTAAGATGCAAAATCCACAATTTTAAAACAATTTATGCAAAAATAATATTTATATCAAAAGACTAACAATAAATTCTAAAAGAAGTTAAAATGAACAAAAAAGATATGGGGATAAAATATTTCGTGAAAATTTTTTTCCAGAAAATCTTGCAAATTTGAATCTTCTATCGCCTTAAAAGCTAATCCACACGAACCGTTACAGTGTCACCCCAAAGATTAATGCACTTCAAAAGATAAACAGTATATCACATAATAAAACTGAAGACAGCAGATCACTTTGAATAAACAGGGAAACGACACTAAAAAAATGGATCCATTGAATAGTTAGAAAATAAATGATGAATCTTTTTCTCGAAAAATCAAGGATTATTTTGTATTGCATTAAAATTAAATAAATTTATCTTCTCAAATAATCATCTTTCAAAGTGACCTGCTAAACAAGAAAATATAAGAAATAAGTCATATAAACAATCCAAGTATATGGAAAAACCCGTGGTAAACATCCCAAACACCATATCCTCATAATTAGTCACTTTCCGCTCACGAAATATTCAACTCTCGATTTTGACTCTAACTTCGACACAAATCATATATACATATATGATTCACTCATATATTTTGTCAATAACGTGTATTATTTAAATCAATGTAAATAATAACCAAATTTCTAATGATAACGGCAATGATTAATTGACAAAGTACAGGAAAGTGAATTTCTGCAGATAAGTACACATTTTTTTTTTAAGCCAACAACACATAACGAAAATACGGGAATCTCAAATCAAAACTTGAAACTAACAAAAAAAATTGGAAATATAAAATCGAATGAAAAATTAGAAAAATCAGAAAGCGGAAACTGAGAACATAATGCCATAGGTCTAGTTGAATACATCAAATATACATATTACATGGAGTGAAGTAACATAGAAGCTAGCGGTGACATTCGCACTGAATGATCAAATGACTATGGGAGAAGAATAAGGCAAAATATAATAGGAAGATCAGGAGCACAATTTGAAAACTGCAAGAAAAAATAGCAATAAAAAAGCAGCAATTTTTTTTAGAAAGAAATTATTGATTTATCAAATACTCTCCAAAAGAGTGAAAGATTAACTTTCATATCCCGAATAATTGCATAGTTGTCCCAAAAAAAAAACGAATTATCAATTTCTAAATATTAAGTAAAAGCAAATATCGATCCTTTAATCACTTCATCATGTGTAGTTAAGAAAACTAAAAGTTATTTGAAATTAATTTGAATTTCGATTAAAAAATTAACTCTTGATAGTTTCAAAGTTATGGAAAAATTAACATATATATGAATTAATGAACCACTAAAAATTTACTTTGAATATTGGTTATTCACATTCCTGTAATCTATATTTAGCAATTTCATCAGCTCCAAAAAAAAACAATGCAATCAATTATGAAACTATATGTGAAATTAAAAAATTAAAAGTTTTGAATCTGAAACGGACACAAAAAAACGAATTGACCTCACAAAGAAAAAAATGCTGTACTGCTATCAGAATGACAACTCATTCAAAAAAGAAATGAATGAAAGTAAGACAGATTGGTAACACCGAGTATAGCAGATCTTGTGCTACTCTTGAAATCACATAATTTGAAGAGAAATTAGAAAATCACAATTCATGAGTAAAAGTAATATTTAAAATATCGGAAGTTCAACGGTTTGGACAATCGGAGTCAGGGATTATGGACATACTCAGTGGCGTATTATTTCTAATCCAATCATGAATGAAGTATTGGAAATCAAATTAACTAAATAAGAAATCATAGGGAAGAAAAAATCTCACAACTTCTTTACTTAATAATTCCTCCGGATATATAACTATATAAAGGCCCAATTTTATATTTTTCTTCCCTGTGATAATCTCTCATTCAAGACAAATAGAGTAATATTAAAACAAATTCGATAAAGAATCAAAGTAAAAAAAGATGTGTTGTTTTTACCGACAAAAAGAAAAAAAAACTGAAAGAAAACAAAAAAGTAGAACACAGTATTATATTCTTATGACCTGTATGGCTACCAGAAACGGTTATTTTGCATTTCGTACGAAACAAAATTTTTTTCGACAGTCGCATCTCTGCATTGAAGAATTTATTTCATTGGGGGAAAAAAATATAATAAAATACCTGTTCAGTTTAAATCATTCATCATCGGTACCAACAAATTTAAAATGATATAAATGCAAGCCATTTCACAATTGTCATCCACCATTAGCTGTCACATTTTCACATCCTACTTCAATAACAATACCGCTATTCTTTCTCTCTCACAGTATTCCTCCCAGACAGGAGAATCGAAAGAAAAAAAAAACTTAAGTTTCCAAAACAGAGCTATAAATTTAGATGACGAAATAGTATGGCTTAACTGAAGAACAAAAATCATGATATGCTTGCAAAAAGTCACAACAAAAATTATCACGGTTGAAAAAAGACTAAAACCAATTCTCACAGGATGCTTGCACGAATTCAATAAAACATTTTGTGACTCAGTTGCATAATACAATAATCATTTTGCAAAATTATAAGGCTATCAATCAGACTACGTTTATCTGATAAATAAGGTCAAATAATCACTAGTTGAAAAGTAGTGGGACAATAATGGGAATGCTTAAATATATTTCTTTGGCCTTATTTGCCAAACGACGAGTTTTTCAACTATGATGCCAAATTAATAGTATACATGATGAAGTTAGTTGAAGACCCCGTCTAATTTTATTTTCCTGGAGCATCCATTTCAATATTTCAACAGCAATCGTACTTCACAATGTTTCAAAGCTGCGCCCTTCACCGAGTGGAGCTGTCATACTTGGAAGCTGAAATGCGGTTGCTTGCGGTGGATGACAAGGTGTCAGTCCAGTTGGACCATCCAATAAATTGACACCACCGAAGTCTGATGTTGCTAAAAATAGAAGTCAAACAGTTATGTTACAGAAGCATGAAGCATCACTTCTGTCAAAAAACTATTAATTTCCAACAACTGACCGTTTTTTTACGAGCATCTTTGAAATGCAGACTAAATTCTTAGCTTTAATCTAAAAGGCTATCAAGTGAAAAGTATCAATTGATTCTTGCAATGAGGCACTTCAAAATTTCAAAATTCCCCTTCTCATTTTTTTTTATCGTAATTATTTTTAAAATGGATAATCCTAAATTCAGAAGAAAAAAGTGAATATTTAGACAAAATTAATGACAACCTCCACCAATCAAATTTGATGGCGTTGTGATGGGTACACCAGAGCTGCTCAACGAACTATAAGTTGTCGTTGTGGTGACACCATCCGCGAATGTTAATGATGTCGGACGTTTGATCTCTTCATCTGGTAAATCACGTCCATTAACATCGAATAACGTCGGTTCTTGTTTTATTTGCATTGAAGAAGGCTAAAATATTCTATTTCCTCTTAAAAAAAAGGACTTAAAAAATTTTCCAAGCATACCATGCCAAAAAAGTAAATAAAATACTCGCTTGGCTTTGCAAAGCTATTTTAAAAAATTCAGATTCAATTTTAAAAGTAAATTCGAGTTATAATTTTATCTTTCAAAAAGTTTTTGAAGTTTAAAAACTAGAATTAAGTACTTGTAAATTTCATTAATTTACCTTTGTCAATGTCAATATACTGGTTTGATTATCATTTCTGTTCAGCGTCACAGCTGTTAGCGGTGATGCACCCGGTTGTGATTGTGGCGGTTGCCTGAGATCCGGTATCATCGCACTGGCTGGTCGCTTTCGACTATTAAGCACTGGTTGTGGTGATTGAGCAGACTGTGTGTAAGGTGCAATTTCAGTACTGGTTGGTACAGTTACTACTGGTGCCGGCGCACCACGTGGCATGTATTGCTGAGTGCTGGACATGTCGACATCTAACGTCTGACGAAGAGCTTCCGGCAAGACGCAATGATGATCCCGAATCACAGCGATAAGCTCATTTTTCTGGAATATTATACAAAATTAGGGAACTGAATTAAAACAATACTATCTTTGGTAGAAATAACACTTTTTTTAACATTTAATAAAATGACTGATTTTCATAATAGAGAATTTATAAGTAAAAAAAAATCACAAAACGAAATGATTAATTCATATTAAAACCTACCAACAGCTGTAATTCAGCAATTTTTGCATCCTTCATTTTATTTTCTTCCTTCAGTTGGTTCACTTGCTAAAAATAAATTAAGTTCTTAAATAAAAAAATCCAACTGACACTACTAAAATCACTAAAAAAAACCAAAAACATTCAGCAGCGATTTAAATTTTATGGATTCGACGAAATGAGGATGTAGTCTTTGGCTAGCCTTGAAGTAAGTTCCTGAATGAAAAAAAATTCCAGTTTTGTTTTATCCTCAGGCATGTAGTGGGGGAGAGAAGAGGAAAGAAAGAAAAGGAAATAGAATTATGAATTAAATTTCCACCAGAACTTTTGGCCGAAGTAGAAAAAAGAACCCTCCCCCCTCCCCTTTTCCCATCAATAATGCGGAAAATTTCCAAAGAATTCTATTTCCTTCTATTTCAGTACAAAAGAAATTTCAAGCTAATCACAGTAGGCGACTAATGATAACAGTTAAAGAGCATGGTAGAGCACTTCCGCGAAGGCTTTCATATAATTCTCTCTCGTAAAAGCTGTATAGATTTAACAATTCAATAGATAATCGCCTGAAAAATTGAATGGAATCTTTGATAGGACTGTCATTCAATTCTTAAAAACCTAACCCATGAGCCCAATTAAAAAATCTATTAGAAGTTTTAACGTTTTTCATCTTGCAACTCATAAATCTTACATTTTGCAGCGAACCCATAAGATCAAGACGTCTCTGTCGGCATCTTGCCGCTGCTTCCTTATTTCGCAGGCGTCTTTTATCACGTTTATCTCGTTCTTCCTCGCTCAAAGTCACATGATCCTGCAATGTGAAACTCTGGAATTGAGAGAAAGAAGACAGAGGAAGGCAAGGAAAAGTTCAACTTTCCCAAAAAAAAACAATTCCGAAATTGGTCAGTTTTAGTGAAACAATAAAATCAGATTATAAGAAATTATTACTAACATATTCTTCGTATTCCTTTGGGCGCCGACCACCGCGTTTACCGGTTGCCGATGCTGGTCTTGTCATCGTATTTCCAACAAAACTAGTTCGTGTTTGATATGCTTGTGGCATATTAAGCTGATAATGAGCGCCTGTAAAATGAACTTTTTTATACCGAAATGTTAATCAGAAAAATAAGTTAATCATTTGGGTTTATAAAACCATACATATATATATGTATGGTTTTATAA